ATCCACCAAAGATAATAGTACATGCCTGGTTTTGCCTACATTTCCAACAATTGTTAGACATATTTTTAAACATTTTTGCTAGTCTGGCCGGTGATAGGTGCCATCTATAATATTTTCTTTATATGCAGTTGCCATTGTTATTTTATAGTTTCTTTCCCAAATATTTTGCCAATTTTCTAACTCTATATTGTGCCCAAAGTTTTTAGCCCATGTTATCATTGTTTCTTTTACCTGTTCATCTTCCATCTTTAAGCTTAACAAAAATGTATACAATTACTTAATCAAATTTTTGAAAAGCTAGATCAAAGTGCACAGATAGCAAAAAGAGATTATGTCTGGAAACTGATTAAGAATATCAAACACAGAGAAATATAAAATTATCCAGCTAATTTGATGTTAATGAACTTAAAACTCCCAAAGACTTCTAATTTTCATAATTACCATGTGATTGAAAATTAACCTTAGCTGCAAAGGCCTTGTCTCTACATGTCGAAGAACTATATGTACCCTTACCAGATCATCTTGCTCATTTTCCAACTCACTTTTAGACATCAGCAACTTCTGCTATTCTAAGCGTTGCAACTGAACTACAACTCCCAGCATTATTCCCCACTGGCAGTGCTTTCTGAAATGCTTGGAGTCACAGATCAGCAGTAACAGAAAGACTATACTGCTGTTTATCCCTGTCAAATTCTCTGGCCAGTTAGGTGTTCAGAAGGACACGTTGATTCTGTGAAATGCTTGGTTAAATTATAGTAGTTCTAGTTCCCCCAAACAATCAATTTGTGTTCTAAATTTACATTGCATGAAACGGTTCTGTTTTTAATTGCATCTATCTGCAAATGAAGTGTTGAACTTTCTTTGAATTCCGTACAGTTTGTAAACCATTTGCGTACCTATGACATCTTTGTTCCAAACTTGGGACATGCATAAATTTTTTGTCAAGGCAGAAAACAAAGAAGAAAAAGAGAATTCTGGTTGCATTTACTGAAAACCTTCCAGGTTCAGCCATAGTTTCATTCCATACAGCATTAACTTTGTGAACTCTCAAGCTTCCTCCTTCCGTTATATATTCAAGATGGACAGTATTTAATATTTATTTGCTATGTATATGTAAGTGTATGGGTCTATACATATGTTGTACATAGTATGTTTTAGGTGTGTGTTGTGTATGTGTTTCACTTTGAGAGTGGGCAACTAAATTTCATTTTTGATGTGTGCAATTGTGCCGTTGTGCCACAGTAAAAAGATGACAGTAAAGGTTATCTTATCTTAAAGTGCTTGAACATTTTTCCAGAAAATCTAAGTTGCAGATGGTGTTTGGAACATCTTTATGAATATCAGAAGATAACCTTGACAGTAAAATACTGCATGTTTTCTCTGGCTGTATTCTTTTTAAAATTTATAGTAACATTGCAGTTATTACATTAGTCTGTCATTTCACTTTACATTGAATAGTCTCTTAAATATACCCATGAGATAAATATAGGATGTATTTTGGCAGACTTATTCCGTTTACTTGTGAATGTTTTTTATTCTACGACCCCAATATGCTATCTTCAGTTCAGGGATCAATTCAAAATTAATGATTACATCTGAACCATAAAACGATCATTTCTCTTATTATAATTGAAAAATAAGTTTTAAAACCTGCAGGATCAGTATTAGGTGCCTCATAATATCAGGAAATAATGCATATTCTAAAATGTGTATTGGGTAATTTGTGTCAGTATTTAAATAGAGAGCTTCTATTATTATTTTTAAATCTATTTGTATTTTTATTAATAAAAATTAAGTGCCAGATTTAAATCTTGTGAAAAACTATAGGGAAGATGAAAAATATTGTGATAATCAGAAAATGGGTATTTTCCTGTTTAGGAAGATTTATATAGCCCTATTTATACATTTCATAAATATATCAATCTATACATGCAATAAATAGCTGTTTAGTCTTTCACTAGAAAATTACCCAACAAACGTTTTGGAGTCTGTTATTTCCTATGCAATAGGCTGGGGTGACCATGAGTGGCTGGCTTCAAGTCCCACAGTGAGCTTTCATTACTTAGTGTGGACTAGAACTCTGCTCTCTTCCTGATCCTAGCCCAAAATCTTAACCTCTTACACTATACTGGCTAGCTTATTTATTTGTAGCTATTTAAACCACAGTTTCGTTGTTAAAAACCAAATGCCAGACAGGGGAATTCCACAGACTTGTTACATGTTATTTCTTCAGTTAGCCAAAGAGCAATAAACTGTGAATACTGTAATGAAACTCGCAGGCCCTTTGCCATAGGGACAATTAGGAAGTAGCTGCTGAAGATTTGAGAATTTCATCTGAGATATGTGTTAGTCATTGTTTAATGATACATTCGTAATTGTGTTTAGAGAAAATTTTTCTGCCTCTTTAATATTTCACATGTGGATATGTAGCACAAGTACAAGTAGTCCTCGACTTACAACAGTTTGCTTAGTGACTGTTCGAAGTTACAATGGCACTGAAAAAAGTGCCCCCCAAGCCACAGCCGAGCAAGACACCTGCCTGCCCACCCGGTAGCCCTCCTGTCCGAGGTTTTCATTGTTGTGAGCATTTCTGTTGGGGATTGGCAGCGGGGGTGGGGTGGAGTGTGTGTGGTTTTTATTCCCCCATCTGCTGGGTGGTTGCAGCAGGTTTTGGTCATGACCCTGGGACACTGTGACCGTCATAAATATGAATCAGTTGCCAAGCATCTTAATGTTAATCACAAGACCCTGGAGATGTTGCAACATTCCAGCTGATCGGTGCTTCTTCAGGGCTCAGCAGAAGCACCAGGATCAGCACCGAGCTCCAGCTGGAGCCTGGCACTTGCACGGAGCCCTGACAGTCCCAAAGAAGTGCCGGTCAGCTGGAAAGCAGCACTGATCCTGGCGCTTCCGCTGAGCCCTGACAGCCCTGCAACTCCAGCCATCTCTCACTCAGACTTGTGTGGTGCTGCCACAGGTTCAGCTCATTTCCCTCCCCCGCTACCACTTTTCTAGAATGGTCGCGTACCACCTGCCAGGTGCCAATATACCACAGGTGGTACCCATACCACTGGTTGAAAAGGCCTGGGCTAGAAGATTTCTATTTTATTCCTCTCTGACTCTCATTCATGGATGGAAGTGGCTTGTAATCATCTTTACTAATTTAATTTCCTGCTAGCGTAAAGATCTGGAATTTGCAAAACCCAACCTTAAATTTGGTTATCTTATACCCAGTGAGTCGGTGTAATTCAACGTTTCAAAATGCTAATCTACTCAAGGGCCAGCCTCAGCACTGAATTTCGATATATCTGGTGGTATCTAAGAAGTCACTGTTCTAGTGAAATCTGAGGACTATGTTCATATTTTATAATTAGTCAGTAATTTGAAATTACCCAGTAACCAAAAGGATTAACTCCAAAAGTAGGAGACTGTAGCTTTGTGAATTTGGAGAAGTGCTGTGAGTGGGACCTGATGCTGCAAAATATTTTTTTAAAGAAGCAGTAATATAACCTTTCACAAAATATGCAGAAAGGTGGGATTTTTATTTTTCTGTGTATGATATGCTTACAAAGGATCAGTCTAATTCTTGAGAAGAATGATGAGTCATACTGAAATATATGTATGGCATAATACCATAAATTAGCTGTAGTCATCTTCTTTGCTTACCAAATCTGCCTTCCATGGACTGTATGGATCTTGTCTGTATAATAAATGATAGCCACCTCAGAATGGATTGTAGTGTGCTTAACTAATCTTCTGTACAATAGTCGGTTATTGTATTATACTGAATGATAGAACTAAATTCTAAAAACTACATTGAAAATTAAGAAGAGTTAGTTTATGCATTTTTCAAACAAATACCCACAACTTCAATAAATATAATTTAGAAAAAAAGTATTTGTTCAATTTTTTAAAGTGGCATTTAGAGGTCTGTGTTGTGCAGATTGTACTAGTGTACTATTCTATCTGTGGTGGACTAACAAAGTTTAACGATCAACAGTGCAAATTCATGAACCTGAACAATTCTTCAAATTCCTAAGTGCCAGTTTAAGTATTGTGGATAAATAAGCCTGTTGACAATGAGTTGGCTATGATAAATGAAATCTACCTCTGTTTCAGTCTAGAAAACAACTACATTTTACAGTCTTGTTTAGAAATATGTGTCAGATAAACCATGAAGATTTTTTTTCTTTTTACATTTTCATTTTCCTTCTGTTTAATTGTGTATTTTTTCTAGGAAAGAATAAACCCTCTGTGCTGAAGACCCCTCATGTAGCTAGTTTTTAATATCTTTGACACTTCTCAAATGTTCCTTTGTGTTGTTCAAAAAAAATATCTGATAGCACTTTTTCCATCTAACAAGTTTTATTAAAAGGCACACGCTTTTTGTAAACCGCAGTTCACTTCATCAGATGACAGACATGTGTCTTTTAATACAAATTTTCAGCTAGAAAAGGTGCTGTCTGATTCCTCCTTATCTTTGACTACCGTAGACTCACACAGTTCTCCTAGAGCAGTGGTTCTCAACCTGTGGGTCGGGACCCCATTTGGGGTCGAATGACCATTTCACAGGGGTCGCCAAACCACGCTGTCCGCCATTTTTTCCCCTTTTCCCTAGCTGTCCTACTCCCTCTTATTGGTGGCCACACCCACTTGGGGGTCACCACAACATGGGGAACTGTATTATGGGGTCACGGCATTAGAAAGGTTGAGAACCACTGTCCTAGAGTGACTGGAACTAGCATTATCTCTCACATTGCTAAGATGATGTTACAAGAAGGCGTACTAAAGTGACACCTTATTTTTTTGTGACTGGTGTTTAGGTGTGGTGAATTATGTGCCAAGTGCCACACCTCACTCTTTAAAGTAAGTTGCTTACGTCAGTAAGGTTTGAATTAAAAGGTAGAATAAATTCCCAAACTCAAAGCAGGAGGTAAGATTTGAATACTCTCTTGATAAGTCTTGAAGGTTAACTTTTTTATACTAATTTTGGATTGCAGGTGGATCCATGTCAGAGTTTCAGAGCTCTTGGGAATTATATCAACAGAGTATCCCAGATGACCTGGATGTCGGTAAAGTACCTCCTTTTTTTGCAAAAATGTTCCTGTGAAGTAAAATAAGATACTGTTTTTGCCAGAGAGGAAAAATATTATGTATTTGAAATTATGTTGTTTCAGCCATTCTGAAAAGCCTGCTCAATGATCCTTTTTGAACAGCCTAGTTTCTTGCATGTATTTTCTTGGTATTGGAATCTGCAGTTGATGTAGGGCTGGCTTTGAATGAAATGTGATTATCTTTCAACTGTGGCCAACTTTTTTTTAAAGTACAACTTTATTTTGGCAACTTTTCAATTACTTAAGTCAGGGGTGTCAAACTGCCAGCCTGTGGGCCGGATGCATCATGGCGAAGCCGCACCCACCCCATTGCCAGCAATGGAAAAAAAGTCACGCCATGTCACATGATGTTGCGAGTTTGACACCCCTGACAAGGGTGTGTGTGAGTCAAAGATAGAGTTCTGAATTAGGATAATAATTTCTGATCTCACCTCTGCTATAAGCTCACCAAGCTTATGGACCTCTCTTTTTTATGGTCAGTCTTTCACTTGCAAAATGAAGATAGTAGATGGTTTTCTGCTTCTTTGATCTGTTGTCTTATAATAGCAAAAATGCTTTTAAAACTCACTTATTTCTATTATAAAATACTAAGAAAGCATTATTGCTACATATGTCCACATACTGGATTGTTGTTGTTAATTGCGAAGTCGTGTCCGACCCATCGCGACCCCATGGACAACGTTCCTCCAGGTCTTCCCGTCCTCTACCATCTTCTGGAGTCCATTTAAGTTCACACCTACTGCTTCAGTGACTCCATCCAGCCATCTCATTCTCTGTCGTCCCATTCTTCTATTGCCCTCAATCTTTCCCAGCATTAGGCCCTTCTCCAGTGAATCCTTCCTTCTCATTAGGTGGCCAAAGTATTTGAGTTTCAACTTCAGAATCTGGCTTTCTAAAGAGCAGTCAGGGTTGATCTCTTCTAGGACTGACCGGTTTGAACGCCTTGCAGTCCAAGGGACTCGCAGGAGTCTTCTCCAGCACCATAGTTCAAAAGCCTCAATTCTTTTGCGCTCCACCTTTCTTATGGTCCAACTTTCACAGCCATACTGGATATTGTTAGCTATATTTTTCCTCTTGTACTTCATGACATTTGTGGTGGAACACAGTTTGGAATGTTAGAGTGTATGTGTGCTGATGCAATGCAACCATGGAAATGGGGGAAATTGAGAGGTTGATGGAGACAAGGGTTGTGAATCCTAGCTTCATCAACAGAAAATGCTTATTGATCATTTCTCTTTATCTCAGTGATGTGGTAAAGAAGATAGTCTTTCACCCAGAGCAAGATAATGAACCATAATTATGATTCTTTTTCCTCCACAGAAAGGATTGTTTTCAGCAGAGGATTCCTTAGTCTACTCATAATGTAGAATCATGAATTTTCAAGAGTCCTAACTTGCACCAAAGACTTTCCATGAAAAAAGAAGGCTGTCTTTTGCAGAGTCACTCTGCATATGGAGAGCAGTGGTAGAGAGGGCGGAGCTAACATCTCCTTTTGAATAAGAGCCTGTATATTTCTGAAGGTTTCAGCTAAAATGCAATGGCTACAGTGAATGTAGTAAAGTGGTTGCTTTCAGCTCTCCTTCATTTGGAATTCTTTAGTCCCAACAGATTTGTGGTATGCCAGGCTAACTAAGATAATCTGAGCCCTTGGGCTAGAATAAGCTGTAAAACATGGGTGTCCAGCCTTTTGGCTTGTTGTGGGCCGCATTGAGTGAAGAGGAATTGCCTTGGGCTGCATATAAAATATATAAAATAGTTGATATAAATCATATAATCATGTTAAAAGTTTACGATATTGCGGGGTCAAATTAGTAGCTGTCTAGGGCTGCATGCTATAAACCTTGCTATACAGAACAGCATTGAGTAGTGATTCTAGCATAGCCTAATGCATAGTGTATTGAAACCATGAACATTGGCTGGCTGATATCAGCTGAAATGATTAATTGTATTAAAGTAATAATTTTTCCCAAAGTTGTAGAGAATCAGTTATTCTTAATTTGCCTAATAGTCATCCATGGCTGTATTCAAGTTCTTTACAAACACGTTGAACCAAGGGAATGCCACTCATTCTTTATATATATTCTTTTCATAGATGTTATTCATTGCTCTCTAGACATAGTGCCTGTATAGTGTTAAGTGTTAAGAAAAATCCAGTCAAGACTGAGTTACTAAAAATATTAAATATTAACAGCACCTTACAATACTTCTGGGAAAGGTAGTTGAGAGGATAATTGCACAGCAGCTTCAGAGGACCTTGAATGAACCTGGGTTTGGTGAGAAACAGCATTGGTCCTGTTTTCAGATGATCTCTGTGAGAGTGGGATGCGGGTTGTGTACCCATCCTTGCCTGACTTGATCTCTCTACAGCTTTCAATACCATCAGTTATAGTATCTTTCCAGATGAGTTCAGGGATTGGGGGTGGGCACCACTGTTTTGTGCTAGTTCACTTCCTTTCTCCAAGGTTCATTCCAGTCAGTAGTGATTGAGGGGGAGAGATTCTGCCCCTGGCCCCTACTACGTGGGATGCCACAGTTTTCAATGCTCTCTCTGCTCCTATTCAACATCTATATGAGGCAATTGGGTGAGGTATTATCAATAGGCTGATGATACCCAATTATATATCTCTGCCCCAGGCAAATTATGCATCTTATCTTGGTGTCTGAAAGCTGTGAGGGTCTGGATGGGAAACCGCAGCTGAACCCTAGCAAAGGTCTCGTCTCACAGGAAGCTACGCTTTAGAGCTCAAGAAAGTGGCCTTCTCTGCCATAGTGCCCACCTTTCCTTGCAATTCTGTTTCCTTGCAATTCTGTTTATGTGAATGCTCACAGTATGAAAAAGAAATTATTTTCACTCTTTCTTTGTTTGAAACACCCTTTTCTCCCAAATTTGATAGGAATAGTGGAACTATAGCATGAGATCGTCTCTTGAAAAGGTATCTAGAAATGCCTTAGTTCTGCAACATTTTACTTCCTGTAATTCAGCCATTTATATGAAGATGAGCAGACAAAATAGAACTTGTTGAAGGATCTGTTTTTAGCACTCTGAAAGTCGAGAATGTGTTTGTCAAGACTTGTACATTTTGAATGAAACGTGTTACTATGCTTGGGGAAATATTCATAACCAGAGTGATAATGGGATGAGGGAACTTGTTGCTGGGTTTTATATATTCTATATGTACTCTTACTATATTACTCAGAGTGTATTTACTTTAAGTATTTTACCTCAGAAATTACTATGATGAAGTTAGTAACCTTTACATATTCTCTGTCATAGAAATGGAGCCGATGGTGCCGTGTCCAACCTTTACTGATACAGCCACCGACTTTGACAGGAACATTCCCCGGATCTGCGGTGTTTGTGGAGACAAAGCTACCGGCTTTCATTTTAACGCTATGACCTGTGAAGGCTGCAAAGGATTTTTTAGGTATGAGGTTCTTCACTTAAACTACTACACTTTGTCCGTGGTTTAGGTTTTATTGGACCAGCAGTTTCTTCTTGCCATCAAAAACTGGTCAAAAAAAATTATTTATCTTATTCTTTAAAAAAAAAAAGCATCTTTAAAGGAACCCAACTTATATATTTAGATGTAAGGAAGGAAAAGAGCATATTAATCGTTTTGCCTCCAATAGGGTGGCTAGATTTTAGGTAGTAAACTATTTGATTGGAACCTCAAACTGAGCTTACTGTATAATGTTTCATGGATATAAAATTTGCTATCACTGGACTAAGTTGGCACAGTGGGAATGTTTGAATCATGTTTTGAATTGAACAGAATGGAGAATATAAATTTCATTAGGCATCTGTAGAAATATGGAGGAGCAAAACAGGAAGTAGGAATTGGAATCTGTTTGGTTTAGGATAAACAGAATTGGAGAAACTTCCTGACAGAACAATTAACCAGTGGAACAACCTGCCTCCAGAGGCGGTGAATGCTCCAACACTGGAAGTTTTTAAGAAGAGATTGGACAGCCATTTGTCTGAAATGGTATAGGATTTCCTGCCTGAGCAGGGGGTTGGACTAGATGACCTCCAAGGTCCCTTCCAACTTTATTATTATTATTATTATTGGGATTGTTGCAAAAAGTGAAATTGTTCAGAGTTAAATAATTTAAACCAGAGGTCCCCAAACTTTTGGGCACTGAGGATCTGTTCTGTGAAGAGAGATTTTTCCACGGACTGGAAGGGGCGTGGTTTTGTGTGCTGCTTGCATCCCGCGGATGGGGCATTGTTTGTTTGTGCAGACCGGTTGCTGGCATGCCATGGCCCGGTACTGGTACACAGACCAGGGGGTTGGGGTCCCCTGATTTAAACCACTGTTTCTTCCTTTTGCAGAGTGTGGAAGTACAGTCTGTTTTTTTATTGAAATAGATAACTGGCCTCAACATGACTAACTGTTATTGGGGATGTTTTCATTTAGTTCATATAGGAACTAATATTTTTCTTGTTCCCAGGATTGTTTCCATCTCTATACAATAGTTTTCTTACTTGCTTGCAAATGCACTTTGTCAATAAATATATGTGCAGTCCTGGAAAGAGGAAATAAGAAAACAGTTAACTTTCACCATCTAATTTAACTCTGGTTAAGAGGAAAGTAGCATTGCATAAGCACTAGCCAAGAGTGTTCCAAAACATTCATCAGCTTAGCATATTTCATGCATGAAAAGCTTAGCTCACATAGAGTACCATACTTTTTCTATAATGACGACATTTGAGGTGGTACTGGGAAGCATTGGTTTAAGGTGGATGAGTAATAGCTATACATCAAAAGCCAAAACATGACTAATGAAGGGCAATCTGTATGTATTTTGACTACAACTGGAAGTTAGGAATGCTATCGATAAGGGATTTACATAAACATTAGGCTGGAATTCTAAAGGGCATTTTTTTTCTTAATGTGTGTGTGTTTCCCCCCCCCGCCCCGACATTTTTGTAGGAAACATATTAACTTTGCAAAATAGAGGATTAGATAAAATGTTCTGCGTACCATAGACATCATAGCCAGATTTCCAGTCAGGCTACAGTATACTTGGCTAACCAGAACTGCAACATATTCTTCAATTGCAGTTGCTTAAGAGAGTAATTTGTTTGTCAGAGTTGCATTTCTCAGATGGTGCCCTGGGCTAATCAATCATGCACTGTCTGTCCTAGACATAAAATATATTAGGTTAAGTTTTTCCTCCTGTTAATGACACATTAGCTGAGAGAACTGGTAGACATTTGGGAAGGCAATGAGTACTTCATTCCCTCTAGCCCAGTGGTTCTCAACTTTTTAATGTCACGACCCCCAACCGGTCGTAAGTCGAGGACTACTCAACTGGTGCAGCACCGTTTGCAGAATGGGACTTTTGGCGGGCTCAGCAGGGCAGAGACAGCCTGGACAATTCCTATTGGCTTTTGAAAGCCGATAGAATTAGACTCTATTCAAGAGAGTCTATTCTATTGGCTTTCAAAAGCCAATAGAATAAAAAGGAGTAGCACAGCTAAGGAAAAGGGGGGAAAAAATGGCGGACTGCGTTGTTTGGCGACCCCCGTGAAATGGTCGTTCGACCCCAAATGGGGTCCCGACCCACAGGTTGAGAACCACTGCTCTAGCATGTCAGAATGTAACTGAAACAATTCTTTAAGAGGTATTCTAGAAATCATAACTAATTATTTGATTAAGGAATACCTTTAAGTTTGTAACTCATTGTTTTCCCAAAGTGTGGCAGCTAAGAAACAGTGCCTTTCTAAAATAAAAACTGAAGATGTATCACTGGCAGTGTCTGGACCCCAAAAGAGGTAAACAAGATCCAAGCTGTTATATGCTGAATCCTTGGAGTGCTGAACAATGGACAGTTTTCTCTCCACTGCTCAGGAGTACTGTACCTTTGCCCAGCTTTGTCACCATACGTGTAATTGTTATCTCTCATAACTTTAAAGTTTTAAAAGCTTGTCATGGCAGTTTTACTTGTTTTCTTTACCTTACCATTATTCTACTTTGATCTAACGCAGTGGTTCTCAACCTGTGGGTCGGGACCCCATTTGGGGTCGAACGACCATTTCACGGGGGTCGCCAAACAACGCAGTCCGCCATTTTTTCCCCCTTTTCCTTAGCTGTGCTACTCCCTTTTATTCTATTGTCTTTTGAAAGCCAATAGAATAGACTCTCTTGAATAGAGTCTAATTCTATTGGCTTTCAAAAGCCAATAGGAATTGTCCAGGCTGTCTCTGCCCTGCTGAGCCTGCCAAAAGTCCCATTCTGCAAACAGTGCTGCACCAGTTGAGTAGTCCTCAACTTACGACTGGTTGAGTAGTCCTCGACTTACGACTGGTTGGGGGTCGCGGCATTAAAAAGGTTGAGAACCACTGATCTAACAGGCAAGGCACCAGGCTAGAAAGTGGGAGACCGCGAGTTCAAGTCCCTCCTTAGGACAAAGAATGTTGGATAGGTTTGCCATCTTGAGTTATTTGTTAAAATAATAAAGGTGGAATGCAAACAAACAACTAAACAATTCCTTTGGATTAATTATCTCTGATTTCCGCTATTACTATTATTCTGCATCAACTACTGTTTCTTATTGGTAATCCTGCACATATAAGGAATTCCTATAATGTTTTTTGCGGATTTTCTGAATTGTGATCCAGGCACTATAAGCATGGATGCCCCTGGCAAGCCAAGTAGCTAGTCTGTCTCCATTTCCCCAACTTGGGAGCTGGCCACGTGAAATATTGGTTTAGGCCGACGTTCCTGAAATGGATGATAGGAAATAAATGTATCTGATACTCACCACCTATAATGGGATGAATATTGTCCTCATACTATTAGGTGCCTAAGGTAAGCATGGCATGATATGAAAGAGGACGAAAGATTTTGAAAATAGATTATAAAAAAACTGAAGACAATGAGCAGAGCAGGTGAAAACAGCAATCAAAATAATGAATGAATGGAATATATAAAATGAAGTGAGAGAAAGCCTTAAATGTCTGAATAGCTGCGCTTGCAGATTTTGCTATATTTTAAAACGTTTAATCAGATATTAGGCGTGTTTTGAATTAGATAAATAATCTTAATTCCCAAGTTAGGAATAAAGATGGTGCTGCTAGACCTTATGTAGTCTACCTTCTTTTTTACCTGAGGGCTAGATAAAGTATATCTCCATTGAAACAAAATTATTGCTGAACATAGTGTTCTTTTAAAGAATTTTCTCTCTTCCCATTTAATAAATAGCATAATTCAAGCTACAATGTGATATTATTGGGACTAACATTTCTGTTAGCTGATGATTTGGGGAAGGGAGACTTCCAAATAATGCAATATTACAATTTTACAACTATTTGTTTAGTGACCATTCAAAGTTGCAATGGCACTGAAAAAAAGTTTTTCACACTTACAACCGTTGCAGCATCTCCCCGGTCATGTGACCAAAATTCAGACACTTGGCACCTGGCATGTATTTAGGATGATCGCCATATCTCAGGGTCATGTGACATCCCATCCCTTTGTGACTTTCTGACAGTGGAGAAGCCAGATTCACTTAACATCTGTGTTACTAACTTAACAACTGCAGTGATCCACTTAACAACTGTGGCTGGAAAGGTCATAAAATGAGGCAAAACTCACTGTCTTGCTTGGCAACAGAAATTTTGGGCTCAACTGTGGTCGCAAGCTGAGGATTACCTGAATAGTGGGGGGGTATCAGGAAGAGAGGAGAAGTAGTCATATAAGTGCTACACTATCTTGAAACTTTTAGTTCTGGCTCATAAACACGGCAAAGCAATGACAGCCATATTTCCAAAATTTATGCACTAAAGGAATGTACAAATTGCTGTGGCTGAGATAGTAATAGCTGCAGGAACATCAGCGGTACAAGTGATGGAAGCCTGAATATATCAGAAACAATAAGTGACCTTGAGGTAAAAGACTATTATCTTGATGGAAACTTGCAAGGCATATTTTGATGGAAACTTTCAATAGGCTGTTTCAAAGCAACAGTAATAATACCCTGATACTCAAAGAGGATGTTAAAAACAAGATGCCTGCCAAGGGCCTGCCTACCCTCTGGACATTTTCCTCTCCTCAGCACGGGTTTAAAAATGATAGCCAATTACCTTGCCCTTCATCCTATTTGTGAAGGACTATAAGAAATGCACATCTTAGCAAAGAAGACTAATGGCTGCTCAGGAATGTGAATTCTAAACTAGAACTTTGCTCCATAAACATCAGGCTCTTCCTAATAAATCTTTTAGATATCCTGTAAAACTGATGTTTAGGCAATTGTTTCTGTTCTATGGGAAAATAGTTAAAATCCTTTTAATCTTTGGGCAGGTTATATTAGATTCCCTCCTTCATTCTGATAACCCTTGACATCTCTTGTGATTGGCGATAGGGTCAGGGTACTGGGCGAACTTGTTTTTTTACATCAGATTGGTCTCATATAAAATCAACCACATTTTTTAAAAAAAATGGCAATGTGGGTGTAGCATTTCTGAGTTTAGAATTAAGTAGAAAATCTCCCTCTCGTTGCACTAATTTTGCTACGCTAGTGAAATGTTTTGCTGTGTTCTAAGTGTCTGGGGCAAATCTAGACAACATACTAAAAGGCAGAGACATCACCCTGCCAACAAAAGTACGTATAGTCAAGGCCATGGTTTTCCCAGTTGCAATGTATGGCTGTGAAAGTTGGACCATAAGAAAGGCTGAGCGCCAAAGAACTGAGGCCTTTGAACTATGGTGCTGGAGAAGAGTCCTGCAAGTCCCCGGGATTGCAAGGCGATCAAGCCGGTCAGTCCTAGAGGAGATCAACCCTGACTGCTCTTTAGAAGGCCAGATCCTGAAGCTGAAACTCAAGTACTTTGGCCACCTAATGAGAAGGAAGGACTCACTGGAGAAGAGCCTAATGCTGGGAAAGATTGAGGGCAATAGAAGAATGAGATGACAGAGAATGAAGTGGCTGGATAGAGTCACTGAAGCAGTAAGCGTGAGCTTAAATGGACTCCAGAAGATGGTAGAGGACAGGAAGGCCTGGAGGAACGTTGTCCATGGGGTCGCGATGGGTCGGACACGACTTTGCAACTAACAACAACAAAGTGTCTGGGTAGCTTGTCATTCTCAGGAAGAGAATTGTCTCTTTAGCTTCTCCTTTCCTAATCCAATGTTCAGCATTCTCTCTTTTGGTTCAGCATTCTCTCTTTTGTCAGAGGAAACGTATAAATGATCTAAGTTTTAAACAGTAGAGCCTAATGAAATACAGCTGAACGTTAAACAAAGCAAGACTTTCATTAAAGCAGAGAATATATAAAGGTGAAGTGAGGGTGATGTAAACTTATCTAAGGTCAAGGTGACATTAGACAAGGTGTTTTAAGGTAAGGCAGTAGTAGGAACTATGTGGCTGACTATGTGGTGACTCAGCTATCAGGAAAAGGAGGTGATTCGATAGGTGATAAAGAAAATTCTATTTATGATTCTGTAACTCTTAACAAAACATTGGATGCTAGATGAAGTTATTGATGTAAACCTTAAAGGGTGGGTAGTTTTAAATTTCTGGGCAGGACCTCTCATGGACTATGAAGGTTAACATGCTTGTGAAGAAGGCACAGAAGAGGCTGTACTTCCCGAGAATGCTCAGGAGGATAAATCTATCTCAGCATCTACTTCTGTCCTACTATCACAGCACCATTGAGAGTGTCCTGACATACGGCATTCTTGCATGGTATGGGAGCAGCTCTGTAGCGGACAAAAAAGCTCTACAGAGAATTATTAAAACTGCCCAGAATATTAATCGGACTTCAGCTACCAGCTCCTGGACAACATCTTCGAATCTCGCTGTTTGAGGAAGTTGCATAACATTCTCAGAGATTCTTCCCGTCCTGCTTACAATCTCTTTGGACTGTTGCCCTCTGGCAGAAGATATAGAACATTTAAAACTCGGACCACACGTTTTCTGAATAGTTTTTATCCCAGAGCTATAATTGCACTTAATAATGAACTAAAGGGCCATCATCAGTGAACTGTTGGACAGTATTACTTGGTCTGTTGGGTGGATGTTTGGGCGGTTTTAGGGGTGGGGAATTGTGGTGGGTGGGAGTGTGTTTGGGGATTATGTGTGTGGGACCTGGTCTTTGGGTGTCACGTAAATTTCGTTGTATGTATATACTGTGTATACACATACAATCACAATAAAGTTTATAAAGTATAAATATCTTAGCTATGTACTGCAATAAGAAGGCAGTAGTCATTGGAGAAGATCCTGATGTTTGGAAAATTGAAGTCAGTTGGAAAAGAAGCCAACATGAAACAAGATTGCAGAATACCATCACTAGTGACACAGGTATAAGTGTAGAGAAATTTGGAAAAAGTTATTGATAGAACCACCTTGTGAAATAATGTTTCTTGGTTCACAAAGCAGCCAGAAGCAGCAGAAGTATAGTAAATAGACAACAAGAGAAATAAGCTTTTAATTCCAGCACTCTGGTCATTGCCAAGTCATAAAGCTACAGAAAGTGGTGTAATACTTATAGAAATATGGGAAACCGGAGAGGAAGAATCGGCAAAGGTTCTAATTAAATTATGCTAACGAAGGTAGAGAACGACTTAGCAGGTACGTCAGTCCACATGGCATTACCAAAGAATGGAGATTTTAAATATGCAAAATAATAGGAATATTTTTAATGTCGTGTGCTGGCAAAATAATGGTTAAGATTACTGAATGCAGATTAAAGCAAAAGGTTTTAGAAAAGACCGAGAAGCAAGAAACTGGCTCTTGGTGAACAAAAGTGAGAAAGAAGGCTGTATACTCTCTCCCTATTTGCTCATTCTTCAATATGTATTGAGAGAGGCTGGAGTGGAAGACGATGGTGCGGTTTTAAAATTGGAGGAAGAAATATTAATACAGTAGTCTTCAAACAGTGACCATTTGCAGTTACAATAATGATGATGATGAAAAAATAACCTTGCAAACAGTCTTTGCATTTACGACCTTTGCAAACGTAAAGCAAAGGAAAGCTGAAATAAGTTTGTAAGCCCAGCTGCAATTTCACTTAGCAATTGCTTTGCTGAATAACTGAGTTGCTGGTCCTGATCATGGTTGCTAAACAAGGAGTACCTGTAACCTGTACTATGCTGATGACACTACTCTGACAACTGAAAGTGTGCCACAGACAAAAAATTTGCAGAAATTGCTCTCTCTCTCTCTCTCTCTCTCTCTCTCTCTCTCTCTCTCTCTCTCTCTCTCTCTCTCTCTCTCTCATTAGTTTCTTTAAAATACAAGATGTGGGGTTTTGAGAGAGGGAGGGAGGGAGGGAGACAGAGATAAAAATATATTTGTGGTGAATATGCCAGACAATTTATGTGCTCTTCTTGCGTAACAGTGGTGAGAATGTCTTCTTTGCCTGTACGAAACATGTAATTTTGTTGTCATTTTGTACCATGGGCTATAACATTTTTTTTGAAGATAGTCTCATAGGACACATTTAGGTTTCATTTCTGCTATGTACTGAAAAGCATTAAAACTGAATCAGCTTCATATGCCTATTGCTATTCACAAGTTGAATGGGCTGGCACACAGTTCCATCCTAGCACATTTTACATTGCCATTTGTCCATCACTGAACATACTCTTGCAAAGATGAAAAGAAACTTGTTCCAAAAGCAGGGAATGGTTTTGAGTGCCAACCCATTCAACTATGCTCTGGAGCCAAAGAGGCAAAAGGAAATTCAATAACAGTTGAGGTATGATGATTTCTTAAAACGGTGAAGGAGAATTTCAGGCTTCCAAGGTTGCATGGTGATTCACCATTGGGACTTAGGAAAAGTTTCTGATTCCTGTCAGGTGCTAGTCTGGTTGGTTTTCTGAATTTCTTTAGCCAGCAGATCTATGAGATCATTTCCAAATGATTTGGTTCAACAGAGTCTACCTGTCCTAGTCATTTAAATAAGATTAAACACTAGGCAGCTTCATTCCAACTGCAAACAACATTTACTTAGTTGTCCAGCTCTTTATAGAACACATTTTCTATGTACTTATTAATTTATTTTAGGAAAGAGACATGTTTGTATCATTCCCTTCCACACTAAATGCTATTAATATTGTCACCAACATTTAGGAGTGTAATATTGCCCTCTCTTCATACACTATATATTCATATACTCTATATTTGCCTGACAGATGTTGATAGGTTTTTTTTTTTAATCTTCTGACATGCCCATTCAGTTTGTTCAAATTTTCTACATGAGGCATAGACAACAGTGATTTTCAACAAAAGATAGTACTTATTTAATTATCTAAACCTTTAGATTAAAGCGTCATATTCTATATTGCCATTGCATCAAACATTTGCAGATGGTACATGAATGACAGCCTTTTAAGCACTGAGCTTAGTGAGTATATATTATTCACAGGATGTCTGATGGAGCAGGCAGCTTACTGTTAAACTCTGAATGAGTATATTGCCATGACAAGCTTTCAAAAATACAAATCAGGCATGATTCATGTTACCATTAACCTACTTCATTCTGCATTAATTGATGACAAGTTTAAAATCTAAGTGTTGTGATTGATATTTTCCAAACTATTGTATTTCTGTTTTGGTTTTGTGAACTGATAAACTCTCCAATGTACTTAAAGTTTCATTCTGAATCCATTTCATGGGTCTGAGAAAGCAAATTAAATGACTGAAAGCTTATAAGAAAAAAATATAGCATCACAAGTCATCATTGTGATTTGAGGTGGTTGATTTGAGGTGGAAGCCTTCTTTTATTGAGTTTCTAATCTAGTTAGTTTTCTATATTTAAACATGACTGTTTTAGCCATGTGAACTATGATTAATGTTTTCCTGATTATTGTACAGGCTGTTCCTCTTTGTCAGAAAACTGCTTTTCTGTATATAGTCTACAAAATATTAAATTGTTGGGGGGGGGGAACCATGAAAACATGCAAATTGTTAGTGTCTTCCAAGTATAATAACAGAGCAGATTTTAAAAATACCCATATTTCTTAGAAACAGAACTATAGTTATGTTTGAGATATGTCTCCTGTGTTTGGTGGTAAGCTATGCGTATTGCCTTTTAAGGGACAGCTCATTTTATATGCCAATCTTCCACACTATTTTCAGAACAGCATCTGCAGAAATATAAATTTACATCTTACCTTATCAAGGAGTAAACCAATTTGATGCATTTTCCGTTTATTTTATTTTTTTCAGGAGGAGCATGAAAAGAAAAGCAATGTTCACATGTCCATTCAATGGTGACTGTAAAATTACCAAAGATAACCGGAGGCACTGCCAAGCTTGCCGGCTGAAGCGTTGCGTTGACATAGGCATGATGAAGGAATGTGAGTAAATGTAGTCCCTTCACTTCTTTGCACAAGAGATTTGGGAAGAGTTAGGAGCTTGGGCTTCTTTATTTAAAAAATATAATGAAAATTCCAGATTCAGGTTTCCAGGCACTTGTTCACTCAATCTGTCTGGCTGTGTCTCTTTCTCTCATTTAATAGGATGCCTCACACTCTCCTTCTAATGTAGGTAAAATATCCTCACGTATTTTCTTTATAGAACCTATTATGCAGTTTATCAAAATTTTTGATAAACTGCGTAACAGGTTCTATAAGCCAAGAGTCAACAATATGGCACATGTGGGAACCATCACATGCTTGGCACCATTGGCATACCAAAATTATGGCTACTACCTGAAATCTTATATCAGTGGTGGCGAACCTATGGTACGCGTGCCAGAGGCGGCACTCAGAGCCCTATCTGTGGGCACGCGCGCCATGTCCCAGAGATGGCAACCGTCCCTCTTCAACCAGCCGCCTGCTAACTCGCCGAGGTCCCACACGGCCAGATGCAACCCAGCACCCATGCATTCACTGGCCTCTGTGTGCAGCGGCTGATGGTGTCAGGCAGCAGCAGCCCCTGCCTCACCTTGCCCTGTGACAATGGCACCCTCGCCTTGCCTCGCGTCACCCAGCAGGACGAGCTTCCTGCCCACCGCCCCACTTGCCAGAGATCCCCTGGATCTCCCCCAACCCTGCCTGGCCCCCACAGGCATCCCTCCCCACGAGCAACATCGAGGTGCTCACGCCCACCTTGGCCACACCCACCCAATCTGCCATGAACACCACAGCCACGCTTACCCAGTGGGCCACGCCCACCTGGCACCCGACGATAAATAAGCGGGTTTGGGGTTGCAGTTTGGGCACTCGGTCTCTAAAAGGTTTGCCATCACTGATTTGAGGTAATAAATACCCAACACCCTAAGATTTTAGGTGAGAACATCACAATCTTGCAAACTTGGGGCAAATTCATTTTTTTTTTTAATTTTTTTTTTTTGCTAATACTGGCATCCACATCAGAAACGTCTTGCAGTATTTGCTGAGACTGCCAGCAGCCGCTGAAACACAGGTTGCATATTCTAGTCCTACAGGAAAATGTGTTTTTGTAGCAATACTGATTTCAAACCTACATATGCATTCTTAACTTTTTAGCTTCATGATTAAGAAAGTTTTAGCTGAGGAGGAAAAAAATCAGTTTTATTCAGATGGAAGGGCTGTAATGAATCAATAGGCAGTTTAGAGTTTTGAAACGCTTCATTTGTAGTACTTTCAGTTACTTTGAGTGCGATGACATAGAGCAGGGGTAGGCAACCTTGGCTCTTTTATGACTCGTGGACTTCAACTCCCATGCTGGCTCAGGAATTTTGGGGGTTGAAGTCCACGAGTCATAAAAGAGCCAAGATTGCCTACCCCTAACATAGAGACAAGACAATATATTGTTGATCCCATTAGACAGCAGCAGAGAAATGCAATCTGGAGAAAGGAGGGCTGAGTCCAAAGCAGACTTCTTATTCATAAAGGCTATGTAGACTTCCTGGTTATGACTATGGTAAATATAGTTAGTAATGATTTTTTAAAAAATGCTTTAATTATGATTTCTAAAACACAAATATATATTGTTCCACTCAATGAAAGTAACATTCTATAAATTATTTCTAAATTACATTCGTATTTATTTCCTAAAATCTGCGCCATTTACTTACTGTGATTATTACCAATATTATTCTGGACAGTCTTGAGAATATACATTTTCATTGCTTTTCCCATCCTATATTCTTTTACCACTTGAAATCAGTTCCTCTACCTTGTTCTGTCTCAACTATAGATTTTTGGAGGAGAGATGATTCTTGGGCTCAAAATCAGAGCCTTGCTTCCTGAAGTTTGAGCATTGTTTTTCCAAAAGCTAGGGCTACCAGGTCTGCTCAGCAAATACTTGGACGGTATCCTATTTCTTTGGCAACACAGAAAAAAGGGCAAATATTGCTATGATACACTAGTTCCCTGTATTCCTATAGCCCAAGTCTGGTAGCTCTAAGGGAGCAGTAACTAACTTTCCTAAATTTGGAAATAAGAAAAATCAGAAGGAAAATCAGTGGTCTTGAGAAATAATAGTAGTAGTAGTAGTAGTAGTAAAGTTGGAAGGGACCTTGGAGGTCATCTAGTTCAACCCCCTGCTCAGGCAGGAAACCCTATACCATTTCAGACAAATGGCTGTCCAGTCTCTTCTTAAAAACTTCCAGTGTTGGAGCATTCATAGCTTCGGGAGGCAGGCTGTTCCACTGGTTAATTGTTCTCACTGTCAGGAAGTTTCTCCTTAGTTCTTGGTTGCTTCTCTCCTTGATTAGTTTTCATCCATTGCTTCTTGTCCTGCCTTCAGGCGCTTTGGAAAATAGCTTAACTCCCTTTTCTTTGTGGCAGCCCCTGAGATATTGGAACATAACTAGACATTCCCAATTCCAGCAACTGTTCCTTATATGTTTTAGCCTCCAGCCCTCTGATCATCTTTGTTGACCAGTAAAGGGTGTGTTACAAAAAGTTGGCAACAAATTGTTAATTTTAATAGGTTTAATGTAGAATATTAAGCAAGAGGAAGCGCTTTCATTTCACAGAATTTGGGTCATATGGCTCTGGAGACTGCACAGAAGTTTTAGTGGGGGTAAATACAGGTCCTATGACCTCCTATGCTGTAAGTTAGATCCATGAAGACTCCATATTTTTGAGGCCAAAGTTACATTAGACCGAGAACTTTTAATGGGCATGGGGAATGTTATGAGAATACCTCCTGAAAGACATAAACAAACTGCTGCTGATGTATTAGAAGTGTTCCACTCTGTAGGAAATTCATTTGTGAGTATAGTCTTCATCTAGCACAGTGGTTCTCAACCTTTTTAATGCCGCGACTACTCAACCGGTCGTAAGTCGAGGACTACTCAACCCGTGCAGCACCGTTTGCAGAATGGGACTTTTGGCGGGCTCAGCAGGGCAGAGACAGCCTGGACAATTCCTATTGGCTTTTGAAAGCCAATAGAATTAGACTCTATTCAAGAGAGTCTATTCTATTGGCTTTCAAAAGCCAATAGAATAAAAGGGAGTAGCACAGCTAAGGAAAAGGGGGGGAAAAATGGCGGACTGCGTTGTTTGGCGACCCCCGTGAAATGGTCGTTTGACCCCAAATGGGGTCCCGACCCACAGGTTGAGAACCACTGATCTAGCAGTTAAGGCACCAGGCTAGAAACCAGGAGATTGTGAGTTCTATTCCTGCCTTCGGCGTGAAAGCTGGCTGGGTTACTTTTGGCCAGTCATGCTCTCTTAGTCCATGACATCAGGTCGGTCAATTCTTGTGGCAACCAATGGATCTGAAAAAGGAGGACTCTGCACTTGCAGGAAAATGCTAGGAAGAAAAAGAAAATGAGCTCAAAACTGCCATGTAATATTTTAGCTCTTAAAACACTCGAAGGAGATGTGAGATATTAACGTACGGTTTGCTATGGTTCTATAATATTTAAAGGCAGTGTATGGTGTAAGGCCAGCGTGGAAGCAAAAATGATTTGCCAAGATAGAAAGGATACTGCGCGCTAGTTAGCAAAGCTTTTGCTTTGCGCATTGTCTGAAGCTCCCAGGCATTCTTGAGAAGCAGCCTGACATAGAGCACATTGCTCTGTCACAGGTAGACATAAAGGCAGGTAGACTCTTGGCAGGTTTGAGCAAGTGTATTTCCATTTATTTGTTCTTTACCAGGAACCTGGAAATCAAAGGACAATACTGGGCTATGGAGCAAGTGTAGACTGCAAACCTATTACAGTATTTTAGGGGAAGAATAAAATGCTTTTCAGAATAGATTGTAACTTACACACACACACACACACACACACACACACACACACACACACCAGTAGAAAAATTGAAGAAAATAATCTTCATCTTGTCCATATTATTTGATGCAGCCCTTCATTCAGAGGTATCTATTGGTTCTTTGCAATTGGGCGATACAAAAGAAGAAGACATCATTGAGCATCATTCCTTTACTTATGGCACTTTACTCCAAAACTCTAGATCAGGGCTTCCTAAATGGTTTGCCATCATGCTTCCCTTTAGTGCAGTGGTTCTCAGCCTTTTTAATGCCGCGACCCCCAACCGGTCGTAAGTTGAGGACTACTCAACCGGTCATAAGTCGAGGACTAAACCGGTCATAAGTTGAGGACTACCCAACTGGTCGTAAGTTGAGGACTTTCCCTGCCCGGGAGCACCGCGCATGTGCGGTGCCGCCCTCTGCGCCGGCCGAGGCGTAGCTGACAAGCAGCAGAGAAGGAGCAGGCCGACCACCGGCTGGGCCACCAGCTGGCCCAGCCCAAGGGAGGTAAGCCACCCGCCAGGCCCCATGCGTGCCAGCAACCCTCCCTGCGCCCGCCGACCTCCCACCCCTGGCCCTCTTTTACTTACATTTTTAGTAGTTGCTCAGCAGGGAGGGGTGGAAACTTCCAGACAGCTCGCCTTCGCTGCAGACAACTTGCAGCACTGTTTGCAGAATGGGACCTTTGGCGGGCTCAGCAGGGCAGAGACAGCCTGGACAATTCCTATTGGCTTTTGAAAGCCAATAGAATTAGACTCTATTCAAGAGAGTCTATTCTATTGGCTTTCACAAGCCAATAAAATAAAAGGGAGTAGCACAGCTAAGGAAAAGGGGAAAAAATGGCGGACTGCGTTGTTTGGCGACCCCCGTGAAATGGTCGTTCAACCCCAAATGGGGTCCCGACCCACAGGTTGAGAACCACTGCTTTAGTGTAATTTCAATGTATACACTTCTCCTAAAAATACAAACACCAAAATTAATACCAACGAACAATGAAAACAATACAATGAAATTTTGAGAAAGGTGAATGTATTGTGCCAATGTATAAGTAAAAGGTTCTTCACACCTCCCCTGGACTCTCTCTGCACCCACCCTGAGGGATGTATACCTCAGAGTTTGGGAAACCTACTCTAAATAGTATCTGCTACCA